CAAGAAACCTGCCTAAAGGTATTGAGACTTCCCGCACGTTTCCTGTTATCGTTAAGAGGTTTTCATGCCTGCTTTGCACCCTGTGTATCAGCACGAAAAGGAGATACAAAAGAAACACGATGAAGTCAGGATGTTGCGTGAGAAATATTCACAGAGCCTGGAAAACTTGAAATTACAAGAGGAAACGCAAAGAGGCCTTGATGCTTCCTTGCGAAACGAGGCGGCAGCTTACCACTGCTTGAGTGAGAAAGCCATTTATGGGCATATTGAGAGTTAGCAAGATACATAGGGCACCAAGAGACGAATGCATTGAACTAAGTAGCAAAAAAAAATTAGGCAAAGGGTACAGGATAGCACAGTATACCAGCCGTGAGAGGAAGAATGCAGTTAAAACCTCTGATGTCCTACAGGGATAATGATGGCTGTTGCACTAACGTCAAGATCTAATTATATTGGCACTTGGTTTCAGAGAGCGACTTGAATACGTTGGTTTCCACCCATAAGCACTCAACATGTGCTCGCAACAGAACGACTTTCGAGAAGAGAGTTCGTTTGTGCACACTTCTTTCTGAGAACAAGTTCATTGGAAGCACAGACGTATCTTCTTCTACAGATGCTGGTAAGGAGTAAGATGTATTTTCTTTGGATTGAATCTCCGCATACTGGTGCTTCGCAATGAGGCTGCATATGAGCAGATGCATGCGCTGCGGGGGACCATGAAATTTCAAGGGCCCATAAAGGAATCGATGCAGAAATCACACGTATCTTAAAAAGCCATCCGCTTTTCAAAGCTTTGGGAGACAGCGACGAGTCCAGGCTGCGGCTCGTTTACTCATTTATGCGCGTGCGTATATTGCACTGCGAGTCCTCCAGCTTTTGTGCAGATTGCCGTTGATTTTGACATTTCAGGATGTGGTCAAACTGGTGGCTCAGCACGTGCTCTCCTACGATGCAATTTCCCAATTCGCGAAAGCCAAAATGGCGCATTTGAATGATGATAACCCGGAGAGTAGTCCTGTGGACTTTCTTCTTTCGCTGGTATGCTCGTGCTTCCCCCAAAAGTAGCTGCTGTTATGTGCCCGTTTGCTCTGCCAATATTCAAGTGTGCTGCATGTAAACAAATCCTTTTGAATTTGAACCGAACAAAATGTGTAGCTGTATCTGCATTGGAAAAATCCAACTACAGCCCCCATCACTATCAGCGTTTCATTTCTGTATTTTTAGGTGGATTTCACGATGTATGCTTGGAACCCGCGGATGGAACAAGAAATTAACGACACGGACATCCCATTTATAAGGGGCGTTGCTCTGAAAGAAACGCTCCTGGCGAGCAGAAAATGGTATTGTGCCCCTAAAGCCACGTTCTTCGGATCTAGCAGCTTACAAGGGGTGGGAGAAGAGGTGCCTGGAAAAAGAAAGAACGCCTAACTCCATCAAACGCGCATTCGGGCTCTAACCTGTTCGTCCAAATATGTTATGAAACAAAAAGAAACAATGCTTAGCCTCATCAAATGCGTATCCGGGGCTTTAACCTGTTTGTTCAGTTACGTTGTAAAAGCAATGGCGAATCCGCGTATCCTATACATGTATGTAGAGGACTCACTGTAGTCGTTATTGCATAGAGGTAGAGGGGCAAAGCCCATCTCCGATCGCCCTCTAAAGTATCGGTTTCTCCTTCAGATGTTCCCCTCAATCATTGTAATAGCCAATGTGGCCCATCTTCGCCATCCGACATCGCCACGAGAAGTTACCTGGCACACCCCGGCAAATATTTCTTTCCGCTATACTCCCACAAGTGTTGTGCTATTCGAATAATTAGGGGTGTTTGTAGCAATTGTAATTGTAATATATGGGCAGGAAGCCACCAAACCCTGCATGACACAGTGGGCTGGCCCCCGTTCCCCGGATATCAGGTAAAGCCGCAGTGCTACCAAGAGAGAAGTGCACTCAATGCGACCTCGTGGCTACGAATTGCATATAGTCCTGTAAAGGTATTGCAATAAATATAAATGTTTGCCCGCGGAAGAAGACATCGCATGGGCGATACGAGGATCGAACTCGTGACCTTGGGATTATGAGACCCACGCGCTACCGACTGCGCTAATCGCCCTGCGCCCGCAACCGTTTACGCAATTCACGACAAAAAAACAGAACGTATATAAATACACACTAGCTGCTCCATAAGAAATACATGAGCATCAAATCTAGCCTTTGATTGAAGGATATTAGCCAATTGCCGTTGCTCGTAATCTTGAATAAGCGGGGGCCAGTGGAAGCAACATAGGCGAGTGCTGAGGTGCAAACAGTGATGCATGCTTCTACAGAGAACGGAGAGGTAAGACCAAAACTTGAACGCAAGAAACCTTTTTTTGACATGTAAAGGCGAGAGCGCTTCCTTTAGAATGACCAACACTGTACCCCACACGGTTAAATTCCAGGCTTATGTGGGACCCGGGGTGATAAGTGCAATTAGATAACTTTCATTCCATGGCAAATAATACAGCTATGTGCTTGCTAGTGACTAAGCGCAAATTACAGAACACAAGTAGCTACACCTTCAAAGGGGGTGAGCACATACATAAATACAGGAAGATGCCTGTAACCTCATTACTCTCCCTTCCAAGGAAAAGTAAATATGTATTTATGTGCTTCATAGTTGAGCTATGAAAAGTATAGAAAATCACTGCTGAGCGTGCCTTTATAAAGTCGTGTGAGCTCATGAAGAAACACCGGAAGGTGGGTGCTGGAAACCTATATCTTTTCTTCATGATAAATTGTAACTTCGCTTTGTGACACTCTATCAGAGGGTTCCACCAGGAGGAATATGATTTCAGACTCAATCAAAATATGCTTGTAAGTCATTCAGTGCTTCCCAAAAAAACTGCCCCCTTCCGTTGCTCAACCCCCCTGGAGGTTCCCATCTAAGGGGAGAGGCACAGCTACGATGTGCCAAGCTGCAGCGTCTAAGGAGCCCGAACATATACACCTAGCTGAGCATAGCATCAAGCTCACAAAAGACACAAAAATTGCCTTCTGTAGTATCTAGCGAACAGGACTCTGCAGTAAGTTAGATACACGCACAGCCTACGAAGTTTGATATCTAGAAATTCTTAGTTAATACAACTAATCCAGTGGAAAGTGCTCAGGTGTAGCTTACCTGCAACACGCCTATTAGTGAACCATTGCGAATTCATGGAGCACAGCAAAGTATACCTTCTTTTAAGGCGTGTGAGTCTACGCAGAAAGCTTTAAACAAGCTTGAGGTCTGGTACATATTTGTATGTTGCAGGTTTTATCGTTTAGTTGAGGCTTGCTCTGTGGAGAGACAGACGTGGACAACGAATAGGACGAAATCAAGTGCGAGCCCGACAATTTCATTCCACGAATTTTCAAAGTTTGCACCCCTTACTACGGTGTTTCCTGTTCACATACGCTGCCAGACAGCTGTGCACAGAAGACGGTCACTCCACAGAAGTGTAGAACCCACTCCCAGGCGAGGGACGCTCGCATGATTAACTCGGAAGGCCCAGTAGCAATGAAAGCGGCAGGCAGGGTCAGCAAGAGTCAGTGGCTATTTGATTGCTATAAATTAAAGTACATTACAACTCTTGGCATAAAACAGTCTTGCAGCCAATGCTCAGTAAAGGGCATGCTGTGTCGTGCAACAAAGCATGCACTGATTCTCTCCGATGGCCTGGGAATTTGGATATTTCGGGAATTTGCTCAGCATCTAAATCGAGGATCTAAGATTGGTGCTTTGCCGCCCATGTGGTTTGGCCTAGTGTTTGGAATCAAGACCATTCGGCCAACCAGCATAATACTACGGGAGTCGCATGAAGCTCTGCCTATGGTTTTTCTAATCAGCTAAAGGAACATTGCCCCTATCAAGACGTGAAAGAAGCCAACAAAAAAGTGGAAGCTTCCTTTTAAAGAGAGGGTAAAGCTTACCTCCGTTTCTAAAGGTAAGAAATCGAACGAGGAATGCAACTCGATGATTCTCCCGAATTCTGGAAGAACAGTTATCCGCTCACCCACGCAGGGACGATCCTTGCAGGCGCACTGCGTGATATGGTAGTTTGTAGAGTTAAAAAAGAGCTCGCTTCATCGTGCGAGCCACAGTTATACGGGCTTTTACCATAAAAACTGTTGGGATCCTAATTTTCTAGTCAGTCTTCAAAGTTTAGAGTTGCCGAAAATTGTACCACGCCACAGAGATGCTGTTAGTGACTCCATGAGGAAGCAGACGTGCTGCTGCTGACTAAATGAGGGGATAAAGCACGTTTCCTTTATAGAAGGAAAACGAGGAAGAGGGGCTTCCGTATATTTACAATAGCAACCCTCGGGTATAAAGTTTCCCCTTCCATGGTAATCCCATATGCGCTGTGACATATGTACTAAAAGGCGTTCTTTATGTGCCCATTTAAGGTTTTGTGAGTTTTTTCGGCACATGTGAGCATTATCCATGCCGCTCAGCATGTTTTAGCAGCGCAGTGAAAGCGTAGGCACAGTTTAAAAGCCGCTACACTGCTCGGCGATACGAAGAACACCAATAAAACATGTAAAGTCCCCTATTTTTGGACTGAAATAAAGCTCAGCGTCCATGGTTCTTGCATATCTTGAAATCTTTGTTTTAGTTTTTCGTGTGGGGCCTGTCTTGGGTTCTATAGTTGAACCACCGGTTACCTGTCAGTCTGTTCCTCGTCTGGCTCATCCGATTTAGCCCATGCCCCCCCAAATATCAAAGTCAAAAATCCAAGGCAAATGAGCAGAGATGCCCAAAAGTGTGGTAAATCAGCCATGCTATTACAAATTTTAAGACAGCTGACGAGAGGAACTGAGTGTCTCCCAAACCCTTAACGCTTTAGCGGGTTCGCGTTCTTCCACTGCTTCACGCAGACCGTTAATGTCCGCTTGTTTGGGAAGATAATTAGGAAATGGGGCAGCTTAGAGTCTCTCCTTTTGTGTTTGTTAATGGTGGCACTGTCGTGCTTGCGATCCTAATGGCAACATTAACAGCTGGTGGATGGTCAGCAGTTCCAGCAGCAGCACAGGGCAGCCCAGTCAATGATTCTGTAATAATAACAACAGACAACGCCGATACCCAGCAACTTAGCACTATTTCTGCGTACGAGCAAGACGAGAACCAGGTGAACATCAGCGAAATCACGGAGATATCCAGTCTGGAATTGGAGCAACCCGCACATAGCAGGTACACCGTGCCAGTGGTTGCGGCAGGCAGATTTGCGGCCATTCAGGAAGAAGAAACTCAAGCAATTGGTCCAAACGTAGAGGTGCAAAAAGAAGCAGAAGATGGTGAAATATCGCAGGAGTTAATAGGAGGCACAATCAATGTGCGGCCGATGGCTGCTGAGGATATCACAGTTGCAGTGGTAAGCGATGAGACAGACCTCACCGAAACAGGTACACGAGAAGGGGAGAGGCAAAAAGAGGTAAGTGAATCAGCTCAGGCCGAAGCTTACGACGAAGGTGGCGATGCACAGGGGGAAGATTCGAGCACATCAGCAAAAGAAGGTAAAAAGGAAAAGGAGGGTGAATCAGGAACTGAAGGAAGAGAGGAAGAAGAGGGTAAATCAGGCAACGCTGGAGAGGAAAGGAAGGGTAGATCTGAAGACGAAGAGGAAGAGGAGGATGAATTTGAAGGTGGAATGGAAGCGGAGGGTGAATCAGAAGAAGAGGATGTAGAAGGCGCTACGGATGACGACGAAAGCAATGAAAATCAATGGCATATCAGCCATTTATTCGTTGGAACAGCGTATGAGTTGCCTGTACACCTCAGACCCAGGGAAGGCGGAGCAGATCCAGGCTATCTAAAACTGGTGCTTGACGAGAAGGTGTTCAATGCTTTACTTAGCAACGGCCTTCAGCAAAGAGACGCAGACGCAGAAGAAGAAGAGAGCGATGGAAGAGCAACTGCTGCTGAAGCAGCAGAAACTTGGGACCCCAAGAAAGGGCCTCAAAAAAACGGGGTGTACATGGTTTGCTTCGTAAGAGATGAACACGAATTAGAAATGCGCTTTGAGAGAGCCATGGAGCTAGGGGAGGGTGTATACGTGCCCCTTCAACGCATGACGGATTTTGGAAGGCACAAAGATTACACTCGGGGAAATCCTGGCATACAAGAGACGCAGCTTTCCGCGGCGCATTATGCTTCTGCACTGTCTGACTGGGGCGAGTCGTATTTTTCCAAATTAAAAGAACTGAAGGAAAAATCGAAACTGAAAGTTGCTGCCATGCTTATAGGTTACCCAAATTACGAAGTCCTAGACAAATATATGAAGAAATATCCTGGGCTCTTCGACGGGGTTTACTTCAATTGGGAGGATGGCGAATCTGCATGCATGAACAACGTAAGAACACACACATTCCAAGCACGACGCAAACCTTAAAGGCCACAAGACAATGGAAAAACATCAGTGGATTCGGCAAGAAACACACAGCCGGCTAAATTTCAGAACGTTTGATTAATAAAGAGCACCTAAATCATTCTCCCATGTAGTCTACAGAAGCTGAACGGGAAGGATGTATAGGAACAGAAAAGTATATTCCAGAATGAACAACAGCCCACCAAACAAAGCCAAGAGTGCAAACGAATCCGGCTACCCTTAGCTCCTTTGCGACGAATTCTGTCCTCGGGTGTCTTTCTCTTCTCACTCTAACGCTTTACTCAAACGTATATATAGCGCACGTGCACGATGAGATATCCACCTTGCATGAAGAGGCTGAGAAGCCAGATCAATTAGGCTACGACACCTTTTGAGTCAGTAAGATCGCATGTCACGCGATTCGTATGAAGTGCGTTGTATGTGCAGCTAGGGCGTCCCCCTAAAACAAACAAATCCGGGGAAAACACGTACTGGGCCGATAAACCTGATTTTTTCTTTCGGTACTTTATGGGGGGTCAAGATGGAGGCGTCTGCATGTTAAAAGACGGGAGGAACTACATCAGAGATGTTCCCGTCAATGTAGGAAGAGGTGAGGCGCGGCACGAGCAGTTCGTGTATTGTATTTACTTCTCGTCACTAACTCCTTCGCACGTGGTTTAGCTATGTCAAACTACTTTGATGTGTTCCCCCTCATGTGGAAAAATACGTCGAAAGGAAGTGGACGATTGTTGCGGTCGGGTCCTTTCTCATTTGCACTTTGCGGACAGCTGGGTAGAGCCAAAGCGCTCTGTGTGCGAAACTGTACATTCGTGTGTTTTGCATGCACATTAAGAGGGCGCATTGAAGCCGATCAGGGGGCTCGTGAATACACAATGCAGCGACTGCTTGAATATGGGAAATCTACCCTGCACTTCACTCTCCGCCTTAAATCCCACCTTCAATGGGGACGCTTGACAGCTTACTGAAGCTATCAAAAGTGTTATTTCACTCCCTACACCATTATCACTCCCTCTCAGATACCGTGCACTGGCAAATGGTGTCTATGTCTTTTCGTATTCCGCTTTTCTCTCTACCTCCGTCGTATTCCCCAAAGGAAACATCGTGTCCATTTGTCCTTTGGAGGCAATTGAAAACTCTTTTCGGGGCTTTTCGTGCCACCATTTACAGCAATTTCTGGCCCATGTATTTGCTGTTGCCCTGTCTTCTGTTTTCTATGCGGCATAGAGTGAAGAAACGGTTTTTCATCGCTTGTGGTGGTCTGTTGCCTTTCTTTTAGTCTAGTGCTCATGGAAACACACCAACCGGCTCTCCGTATTTCTCTTTATTCTCTTACTTTCCATGACCACCCACAATCAACTACTTTTAGTATCAATCACCAAAAATCGTACTTTTCCTCGGGAATGGCTCCAGCAGGCACACAGTTTACCCACCTTCAATCCCACTGTTTGATTTCTTTTGCATAGCCCTTCGTCCACTTAATTGCACACTTTCGACCTTTACCCTTCGTGTTTTTTCTTTTGTGGCATGCTGAATTATTGGGAAGGGATCGGCGATCCCGTGTCTTCTCTGGTCAGTTAGTCTTGATGTGTCTGTAAATCATATGCTTTCGAATGTGCGATTGTCGCTGTGTGGCTGTGCTACAGAGCTGGCTCTGCCTGACAACGTTCTTCCTGTCTTTCCGTGTTTCAGCGGGAATGAGGGAATATGCTACAAAGCCTTTTCTAAATATATTGAAGCTGCATGTGACGATAAACTTCAGAGATACAGTTTTGCGATCTATGACAGGCACTCCGACAGAATGCGACTGATGCTCGAGGAAGGCTGCAAAAACATCAACCAGAAAGTTCCTCAAATGGATTTTGTTGGGGTGCTGTAAAGGACCTAATATGCGAGCTAAGGGCCGTGGGTCTGTACAAATAAGAGATCCACTTATTCTTGTTAATATGTACAGCAAATGATGACCCAACGCGGCGAGTCAGGCCAAACCAGATCGCACAAAGGAGAGGAATTTCGCGTGGAAAGAGGACAGTATTCAAACGAGGGAGAAAGGAGGGGTAAGGTGACGGCAAGTGCTACCTCCGGTGAACTGGAAAACACCAGAAACCAGCGAAGAATGGCAGTCCTCACCCCTTTCGGCGGAGCAGCAATAGCAGAGAAATGGCTTCTCGCTGCTTCCTCCCGAATAGAATATAGTGTTTCATATACATGTTGTGGGCACTGCAATAAGGTGTACGGCCTTTTGAAAGAAAGCGCGTAAGAAAACCGAGCAAACGTCGTGCAGCGAAAAAATCTTTTCAGCCTTACAGGGTTTCGGTCCCAAAACCTGAATGTTAAGTCCTAGGTGCACATGAAAGGGAAATTCTTGTCCCTCGTAACTAAAACGGGCACACCACTGCATGCAGTAGTGCACTTGTACAGTCATCCAATGAAGTCTAAATCTCCAGTCTTAAAATCCTAAACTCTCATCAACGTAAAACGTTGCAGTGCGTATTAGGAAAGACTAAAAAAGGAGAATGCCATGTTGGCTTCTGCAAGAAGTGAAAGGAACTTTCTGCTGCCTCCGGAGTGCCCAGAGCATTTGTTTGTTGCACCTTCATTGACTAAGTAGCAATATGCTACCACACAACAATTTCGTGTTTGCCGATTGAGGTGCCTTGGCTACTCGGACTTTAACTTTCCTCCGTTTTGCAACGGATCCTGCTTCACGACGTCCTGGCCATTCATTATGACCCTCCTCGGGCTACGATATTCCCAGATTCTTTTCGTCTCCGTATGTACTGTTTCTTCTTTTTCTTATTCTTCCGCCTCTCTCGTTTTCCCTCTCTGCGTTTGTGGCTCCAGTACTAATCAGGCTCCTACTGCGTGTCTCATCGGCGCCACTGGATGGTGTGTAGCCACCTAGAGGCGACTAAACACCGTAGCTCCCTCTTTTTAACAAATGCTTATGAGCCAGCCGTAAGGGCTTCGGAGCCAAAGTAGGCGCTGTTCCCCCTTCTTGGCGTGCCATTTCGACGTCCACAAGATAGCACTGAAGCAGAAGTGCCATATGATAAAGGAGCGCACGCAATTAGAAACGGAAACGCATGCCTAATCCCAGTCAGAATGGGGGCACGCAGCTGTAGTAATGTGCGCCTTCAGTCCCGCCCGATCCCGATTGCAGTTCGTCCCACAGCCCTCAACGCTTGACGATTTACCTGAAGAAGAGTTAGCGCGACAAAGCCGAAGCATTTCATGCAGGAGCTGGCAACATTATAGGAAACCAAAAAGGAGAAGATAAGAGGCGCGGCCAGGGAGGACAGCTGCCCGTCAGGGCCATAAGTTCCCGGAATGATCTGCGGGAGGGAACAACAAAGCATCGGATGCAATATACAACGACCCTCCATTTGAATAGGCGTTCATGCGGCAGCAGCAGAAAAGGTGTCGTATCCAAGCGCGACGTTCTGTCGCAGACGAGCGTCCCAAGGAATGACATGGAAACATGCATGTGACCATGAAAAGGTGGAAAGACACGAGTTCTGCATGGGCGATCTGTTAGCGAAGAACTGGATGTAATCGAGCAATACGAAGGGAGCAACCGCTCGTGCGTGCATGGCACCCATCAACGAGGCGAAAAACAGAGCAGAAGAAGCTCAGATCGCTCTCGTTCCAGAGGATACAGAGGACTGTTGCTGCCCTTCTCCTCCTCCTCCCCAAAATTCAACAATCCATCTAAAGGATTAAAAAGAACGACTATAAAATGCAGTGCCTATGAGTCGCACGCTCGTGGGGAGTGGTACAGTCCAGCACTCCCCGAGCACCGAAGTTGTGAACGCCACGGGAAAGCTGCAGACCACAACTGCGTGGAGAGAAAACGGGGGCAAGCCGAGAAGGCCATACCCAGAGGCACCCAGGAAAAGGCATCCGTGCAGCAGAAGACGTTATCAGCGAGCGTACCGGCAGAATGAGGTAGGTGGTCCATGTGACTGCACAGGCTACTACGAGCTGCCCCACAACTTGAACTATGCGTCCGACCTGCCATACTACACAAAAGGCGACGGGGTTCCTGGGTAGAAGCAAACGAAAAGAAGCTCAACAATTGATGACCGAATGGGGAGTTCCTCGCAAGCGCCTCGCATGCAGCTTGCCAGACATGAAGGCACCAACCACGTGAACCCGTGTTCTCGATTCAATTTTTTTTTCTCCCTCTTTTTCTGTCCTTTCTTTTCTCGCACCAGCAGGAGTTCAGAAAGCACCAAACAAGCCATTCGAGCCGGCCGAACAAAGCAAAGTTGCACTCGAGGCATCGCCACGAACTCTAACAGCGCGACACACAGCCACCCTACCGTTTTTGTATTGCAGCGGCAGTCCACGCAGCAGCGCACAGCGGCTGGCCCAGAAGAGCGACAAAAACAAAGGATGTCTGGGTGAACATGCAGAGGGCACCGTGGACGGCGTTCAATGAATTGGACGTCACCCTCATGCAGCTGCGCAGCGCAGAAGCGCACTTGAAATTTCAGGCGGGGAACTCATGAGCGCTGGCCAGAAGGCGAACTTCCGTTGAGCTGCTCCTGGCGAGGTGCATGCGCAGTCGTCGGAGTCGCAAGGAGGAAAAAGGGGGAAAAGGAGGTGTAGAGAGGCAGTTGAAAGAAGGAGGGCTGAAGGCGGCATGCCGTACGTTCGAAATACTGGTTCATTTCTTTGCGGACTGATCCTCCTCGCCCAGCACAAGCAAAGTCGCAGAACTTCCACCGCTGCAGCAATCCGCGACATCGACAAAGAAACTAGAACACTCTGATGATTCTTTTTGCTCGGCAACATCGCCAGCAGTTTTAGAGGGTGCTGAAGCGGAAGAAAACACGACGTGTGCATGCCATCTTCGCGAGGGCAGTAGCCCTCTCACCCAAGAAAGTAGCCCTCTCACCCAGGAAAACGCGAAACACAGCGGCCGTCGCGTGGCAAAGAAACTACACAGTGGTACCCACCACAACCACCAGTGGCGGTACAATTGGTTTCGATGTGTGTGAGCTGCTGCACAGCACGAAGCAGCGCCTACTTGAGAGCAATAGTCCTCCCAACGCGGCTGATCCTAGGTGATTTTTCATGATGATCCGAACTGACTCGTTCGCCTTAGCACTTAGAACTTCTCTCCTGTCTGAGCGCACACGCACACTCGACGCCCAAGGAGCAGTGCCGCATCCAACAAACGCGAGGAGAAGAGAGGAGAATTAACTCCTGGAACAGGCTGACGGCTGCATGCCGTCGGCGAAGTAGGTCGCACCTGCATCGTTCGGCGTAAAGTAACAGCAAGCTGTAAAGTAGGCAGTGATCAGCTGGCATACGCCGCTAATGAACGCACTTGTCCACAGCGCCACAAACACAACAATGCAAACAGACACCCTTCCCCATGTGCCCAGAGACAAGCCTTGCCACGGGCTGAAGGCGCCGTAAGGAGTCTGGACAGGAACGGAGAATTTTGCACCTGCGAAGCAATCGCAGCCAGAGCGAAACGCAGCCGACGGCAGACACCTCATACACGGCCGACTGCCAGCAGCAGATCCAATGCGGCAAGGATAAAGGCAAACGCGGAAGAGCGAGTGGGTCAGCAACGTGCAAGACATACATGCCCAAGAGACACCATGGATAGCCTATATAGTTGTACTGCATATATAGTTATACATATATATATATATATAGTTGTACTATATATATATACAATTATACTATATATACAACTATACTAAGTATGTATAATTATACTACGTATATATTGATACATATAAAGGGTTATGCTAGATGTAGTTTTACTGTATATACAGTTAGACTATATATGTAGTTGTACTATATATATATTTATACATATATATATACATAGTCATACTATACACATACAGTTATACATATATGCACATATATAGTGATACTAAGTATATATGTAGTTATACTATGCATATATAGTTGTACATGTAGACATAAATATACAGATAGCATCGCGCCAGTGCGAAAGTGTCGCATCAGACGACATGCCACCCCAGTTTGCACGGCGTAGAAAGGGTTTGTCCGTTGAAGTGGGGTGCAAGATATCTAGCGCCTCTATTTGAAGGTTCAGAGGGTGGAAGGGGCAGCGCACACACTTCCAGCCATGACGTGCAGGATTCCAAAGAGGGCAATTGCAGCATGCACGGCGAAGGTGAGGGCTGTGAAGCCGGGGAGAAGAAGGAGAAATTTGCTGGGTGCCTCGCGCAAGACGCCAGCCGCCGATCGGATGACAGTGGTGCAGAGGGAGAGCTGCCGTCTGAAGGAGAGGACGCAGAGCAGAAGAACAACTGCTGCTGCCGCACTAAGTACGCCCAAGGAGACTGAGATCCACAGGGGGATTGCCGTGAAAGATGCATCGAAAGGTGTTTTCAAGCCCGCCTCGCTTGCGACTGATGCAGCAGTTCCATGCACAGTAGACCAAGCGGCGCGCGCGCGCGAGAAGAAGTGGATGGAGGAAAGCAGAAAGGTCAACTCCGCAGCGGCAATCAAAGAGATAACGACCAAGGGAGCTGCCTTCTGCAGGAACCAGAAGAAGAGAAGAGCCAGAGCGAACGAGGCAAGCGGCACCCACAACGCCTGCGAAGGAGCAACGACAGAAGTGGCAGTGGCAGCGACGGCTGCCAGGCATGTGCGGGAGCGTTTCTAGGGTGCCAGAGACTGTCAACAGGATGCGTTGGCGTCTAAGCAGCAAAGGAGACACAATTCAAGCGGAAACGGGAAAAGGCAGATGCGATCCGTAGACACGGCTCACCAGAGGCCATACAAGAGCGAGATCACCAACCCAATGCAGCCAGGAGTGCAGAACGCCATGATCCCTGATGAAGCCGCGTTCGTCAGAGAACACACAAAAGCGCTGCAACATCAGACGCGCTGGAACGGGAGAATACCACGAGCAAAAGTTCAGACGCTCAGAATCCGAGTCGCACACACCCGATGGTCTCAAAGGTTCAAATCCAGAGGGGCAGGCAGCAGTGCACACCTGCATGCGTACCAGCACACCCATACAGGGCGCATCAACACAGTTGCATTTATAAATCTATTCCTACATACATATACATATACATACATGTATATATATACATACATATATATATATTTGTATATCCCTATTTCTATATACCTACATATGCCTACACAAGTGACTGTGTTGTGGTGTAGGTGTCTGTGTGTTTGTTTGTGTGTGTGTGTAGGCATCTGTGTGTAGGTGTCTGTGTGTGTGTAGGCTTGTGTCTGTGTGTGTGTGTGTAGGCTTGTGTCTGTGTGTGTGTGTGTAGGCGTCTGTGTGTGTGTGTGTGTTTGTTTGTGTGTGTGTGTGGCTGCGAAGTCGTCTACAAGCGTCAGACTGCTTTGGCAGAGTTCGCGCTGTAAAGCAGCGCGCGTTTGCTCCTCCTGGCTTACGGGCAAAAGGTTGGATCCGTCTAGTTCCTCCCGGCTGGGTGCTTTGGGAGGCTGCTTCGAAGGCCAGTAGAGGAGAGGCAGATGCGCCACTCCCCCATCCAAGCCGCAGACGCGTCCCTTCCAATCCACCCCCGCCGTCAGCTTCTGGGGAGAAGCATGCGACAAGGAGCTTGCAACCAGCCATAGTAAACACACCCAGCAAAGCACCAAAACACAGAGACTCCACACGTCCGTGAGAAACCTCCGCGATACAGGCCCCTTGCCAAGATCGAGAGGCGAGAGGCGATCGAGCCAGGGGGAATCCGCTGTGGCGCCTTCTTCCCCCCCCCACCTTTCTGCCTCTTCACTACGCAGTGGCGGAGGAGGATACTCCTGGCTTGCAGCAGCGAACTCTCCGAATGGCAGCAGAGGGGCACTCCAGAGGCTGCGTCGACGGAGAGAGCCAAAGAGGTCTTCATGCGAGCCTCGAAGGCGTGCCGGTAGGGTGGCTCCCGAGTCTGAAGCAGCCGCAGCAGCAGAGCGAGCGCAACAATGGCTGCATGCAGAGAAAGCCAACGGCTTCAGTGCTGCCGGTAAGGCGGCCAGAGGGCAGCAGACGAGACGTCTGCTCACAGTGCGCAAGCAAGTGCTGCTGCTGCTTACTGGTAATTTCCCGCGCCTCGCCATCGGGAGCTAATACGTAGTCGTCATGGGCAGCACCCCCCTGGCCCCTCCCAAATCTGCCAGACGCCTCGTAATACGCGCCTTCCAATCCTTGGCTGTACGTACTCCATTGAGGTGCCCCGTAGACGCGATGTGAAGAGACCTCGGTGGGTTCAAGTGCGCTATCCTGTACGGGGAGGGAGCCTGGGAGTCTGCCCGCGAAAGGCTTCCTTGAGGCGGCTCCCCAGAAGCTTTCCTGTCCAGTTTCAAGAGCCGAAGAAAAGGCAGACGGCCATCCAGCGAGATGCTGAGGGTGCGAAATGCCAGGGGGGCCCCTGTAGCTGCTGAGGCTCCTTACCCTCTGCGACTCGCCGATTCGCTGCACATCTGCTGAAGGGAGGAGGGGACGCCGGGTGGATGAAGATGCCGACAACCAATCGCCGTAGTGCGTATGCCCCCATTGCATGTCGGCGTCTCTCCCCCCTACCCAGGAGGGGGGTTGAAGCTCCGCATCTTCAGCAGGGGAAGAAGCAACGGACGGGAGGGGGACTGAAGGGGTAGGGGTGGCCTCCACGGCAGGGGCTGGAAAGAAGGAAGCCGGAAAATTCGGATTACCGTACAAAATGGCGCGATGGTCCACTGCTTCGTCAGGTGAGGGCGCTTGCTGACTTGTTCCTTGATTCATCGGAAAAGCAGCTGCAGACACGGCCAAGAGGGAGGGAAAAACGAAAGAAAATGCTGAACTTGTCGGTCTAAGAAGAGCACACACAGCTGAAATTCGTGTTTTAGCTGCGAAGTCAGAGGAATACACGACAAAGGAAGGGACGAAAGAGGGTAATCCAAGGATCGGACGGAGGAGTAGCGCAAAACAATACGATCAGTGGTCAGCTGCAAGTACACCAGATTCCATATTACACTGCATGACTAATCTTCGTAGGTTTAGCTAGTAGTACGCACCTTGAGTCAAAACAATAAATTCTAAGCCCTTATTCTTCGTTCTCGCTCAACGCTGCTCCGAAAATGCCACACTGTCGGCTGCCGAAGGCTCTGGCTCACTGCTATCCTCGCTCCCCGTGGCTCCTTATTATCCTTCTTTTCATTGCGAAAGTGTTTTCATATACTCAGGGATTTGAAATAAACAAAGGACAGAGCAGTGCAGGCGCTACTGCTTACAGTCTAGGGCTTTTCCAGAGGCGGCCGGTCACTGGTGAACCGCAGCCAGTCACCAGCGCAACACAACACACTGGCAGTCTCGTCTAGCCAGTGTAGCGATCTTAAAGCGCTTCTTCGTCGATAATTTGGGGTTTAAGGCTTACTAACTTTGTATTTCCGGCCTGAATGTCAGGAAGGCTTTGCAGGACGCGCGTAGGCAGTCTCGGGCAGACCTGCCTGAACGGGTGTCGTCCATCTGACTTCGTATTCAGGACTGTTATCGCACACAACGCATCAAAATAGGCCAGAATAAGCACGTACCATACTAGCAGGCGCTTAGAACAACCAGCATGGGCAGAGGGTCTCCTGCCACTGCCTCCAGCAAAATTTCTGTATGGAGAGCACAACAGCAAGGGGAAGAGCATAAATCTTGCATGCTTCATTGAACCTGCCCCTTTCGTCCAACGGGGTGGTGCAAAATTCTGCAGGTAGATACAGCCCCATTCGAGACGTCTGCTAAGGCGGCTCTCCACGGGCTCATCATGACCACTTTATCGCCTCTGGAACGGGCTAAGCTAGACTGGAAGGCTTCTAGTACAGAAGTAATATTCAACTAAGAATTATCAACCATCTAACCAATTCGTTGCTGATAGGTTTATGCTATGTACTGCAGAGTATGATTGGCTAATTACCAGCAGACTCATTGTTGGGTGCATGTGCCCTGGGGGAAAAAAGCAACTAACCGTTAGTCATAGGACTGCTAGAAATTGTACCCACGCGCTTGTCTATCTGCGCTCGTGTCAACGACTCTGGGGTGCTAGCAGGAGAAAAATGAGGTCTCTCTAAAATCACCCAATAATGTCAAATATTGTTTTGAGTTTGTAGTTAGGTATCTCCTATGAGGACCATGTAGAGATCTTTACAGTTGCCAGTGCCACACGATTCGACGGAGCAGTTCACCATGGCTTTGAGTCCAGTAGGATCCAAGGATTCCCAAAGTCCAGCATTTGACCTCGAGCAAGTTTTTTTTGGTAATTCACTACTTTGAATTTCTTTGAAGACACTCTGAAGAACCCAATGAATATGAAACTTGACGGTAGCACAACGCTAGTTGACGCAGCAGAGGCCGCCTCGCTAGCTGATGCGACCGCAGAGGCTCCACAGCTAGTATGACATGTCAGCGGATAAAGTATTCATAAACGCGTCGACTATGTCACGGCAGCCAGGAAAAGCATGACAGGCAGCCGGACGGATGGGCAGGCGCTCGAGTTTTTTCGCCCGGTTAAAGATGTACCTGTATTTGTATCCCGTATATGAGAAAATCAAATTCTCCTGGCGGCATGTGTGTCGGAAGAAAAATCCCCTAGATCGTGGCCCTTTTCATGCAGAGGATGTCTTCTGCCTGCAGGGATTACTATAGTTCAGGTTCTTGTAAAAGCCCTGACTCGTCGATTTCTGCCGAGATCAAAAGCGAAAAAGCAGGAATTAACCAGCGCTCTTGGGCACAACCCGACTTTGGTGCAGAAAAAGGCAAAAGATAGCGCACATGCATTTACATTGGACACCTGTAAAAAATACCACTAAGCAGAAGATTTGAATGCTTCAGACATGCGAATTACTTGAGAGCAATAAGAATATATATCCTCCTTGGCATTTGACTCCATAATTGCTTTCTGACAAATCCCCATTCACTCTGCTTAGAGACAACACGGTGCTTCACACTCGCATTGGCAAAGTTTGCGTATACCTGTGTGCCGGTTGAAGTTTAAAATGTCTCAGCCAAGCTGCCAAACCATGTTACTGAGCTTTGCATGAGCCTATCAATAAGGGGTGAATGGCTGCCTATACGAAAGGCATCGTAGGATTCAGCCAGAACATCCACGTGGACCTACAGCAGCTACGGGGTGTGCCGCAGCGATTGTGGGAAAAGGAATGGTATGTAAAGGCAGAAAACTGCTCGCTTTTTTGAACAATTATATTTCAAGGATGTCGTATTTCGGCTGCAGGAATTTATCCAGATCTGGCAAAAATTGAAGCAACCAAGCGTGGGTTTCGCCGTCGTGCACCCGGAAAGGATGTTGGAATGTTCTGTGGGCTTGTATCTAACCACAGATTTGCATCGAATCACTCCGAGCACTCACAGCTAGTTGCATGTAGCATCCAGCGCTCACGCTCACAATTTTACATCTTGTATCTGGCGAACAGTACTCTGCAATGAGATATGCGGACAAACCATGTAGACAATTCTTCTCGAATTTTCAGTTAGAGATAATTAGCGCTGTAAAGAGATCGAGTCTAGCCAAGCAACTTCACGGAGCATTGAATCGTCTCACTTGAAAGCAACTCTAGTTGGCTGGCCAAAAGAAGTGCAAGTACCCCAGCCAAAACAGGCTTTCACCCCCGATCTACCTAAACAGCTGGAGCAATGGAAAGTGTCTAATTGTAGCTTGACATAAGACAGCTGAAATTCTTAGTGATGGAACTAGCAGTCGTTATTCCGCAGCCAGTAGGATATCGCAGGAGCACAGAAGGCGCGGCAGCCAGTATACGTCGCAGCAGCCAGGGCCCAAAGTCTGTGCGCTGAAGTTGTTAATGGCACATGCACGAACTGAAGAGCACTCTTCTACGCTGAAATTTCGATCCTTCAGAACGGAAGTCTGGCCGGTAGAGTCACGGCAGAGAGGGGAGGTTGCTCCAAGTCTCCAGAGCCCCTCAATGGTTGTGACACGGCTTTGCACTGTAGAGGAATGCAGAATCTTTCTTGCTGTGCTGCTTTCTCCCACGTGTTTTCAAAGAAGTGCATGCCCCTGTTCAGGCCCCACGATAAAACGGAGTTTGCGCATATCGGCACCAAGAAGTGCGCCTCCCAGGCACCCCTTGATGCATTTGCCTCTTTTCCGCGAAACTATTTACCGGATAAATGCCCATGGTAGCCATTCGCCATGTGCCCCCCCTTCTTGTGCTACAAGTTGACGAGCTCGGAGTGAAGCCACCTTCAACAGATCTCGGGACGAAGGAGCTGCATGTGCTGTCCAAGCAGCCCCAGGATTTCGCAAGGCGAAATGAATTATTGGGAGCATCCATTAGGTTTTATTTTTCAAAATTATTCGTGTTATTTGTTTTTCTGCTTTATTTCTTTGGGGGTAGGTAAGCAGGGGCCCGTCGGCTTTTTCGAGGCGTGCACTTGGGCGAGGTGGCGCCACCGCTTGGTGTCTGGCGTCAGCGCGCACTCTTCTGCTGGATTTCTTCTCGATGCGTTGCTTTTATTCTCGTTTTCGTATTCCGGGCGTGTTGCTGACCTTAAGATCTGCAGATCAGCGACGCCGCACTGCCTGCGGGCTTTTTTCGTTGCCACTGTGCTTTCCAGCAGTTCTGCTTCCCGCGACCAAGTCGATCGCTCCCGCCCTTTAGCCCCCGATGCGGCGCACAGTGCATGCAGCAGCGGCAGCTGCCGCAGCTGCCACGCTGGACATGGAGGCGGTGCAGCGCTCCCTTGCTGCGGCTGCGTGGAGGCAGTGCCACCTGGAGGGTCACCTGCAGGGAGTTGTCGAGGAGGAGGAAGAGGAAGAAGAAGGCGCTCAGCAGCAGCAGCAGCAGCAGCAGCGACATCTCTGGGGAAGCACGTCACCCGCCTCGGAGCCTGTCGCGCAGCCGTCTTGCGTAGTGCGGGTAATCTTTGGCTCCTATTCCCACAGGGGAGTCATGCACGATAACGAAGACAGGATTTGTGTGGGTATATGGGGACGCCTTGAATCTTCAGCCGCGACGAGCTCTCCTTCCCCTTCTCCTCCTTCGCAGCAGCAGCAGCGGAAGGAGCAGGAGGAGGAGCAACAGGCATCGAGCCAGTGGGGCAGTTGCAGCAGCCAAACAAAGCCTTCAGCACCGACACCCAACACTGGAGCCGACGCAGATCGAAGCATTCTGGAGCTTGCAGCGGGAGGCAGAGGACTGGAGTATCAGTGGAACGGAAGGATATCGGCAGCCGCAGCAGGAGCAGCGGCAGCCTCAGCGACGGCTGCAGCCACGTTGAAAGCAGACGAGACTGTATGCTGGGGAGGGCAGCACTGCCGACTGCCCCCCGTTGTTGCTGCAGGAGTTCGTGTTGCAGTTCAGGGAGGCTTTGCTGCTGAGCTGCGAGATATGCAAGAAGAAGCTGCAGCGGCTACGGTGGCAGAAATGAAAACAGCAGTCGACGGACTGCCGAGGAAGCCTCCAGCCTTCGATTCAGCGGCTATCGATGCTGCAATAAATCGCCTCGTCGAAGCTCCCCGCGCTCCCTCCTGGTCAGTCGCGGCAGGAGCATCTGCCGAGCAGCAGCAGCAGCAGCAGCAGAGCAGGTGGGGGCAGTTCTCTTCCGTGTTGCGGAGGCGGAAGGCGAAGTTTTCAGCAGTTGAAGGCGTCGCAGTCTCTCAGTGCTGGGAGTTTCCAGAGGCAGAAGCAGCGGGAGCAGCAGCAGCAGCAGCATCGGCCGCCGTTCCGGGTGTACGTACAGCGCAGAAGCCTCTCGCAACGGCGGAGAAAGATGCCAGCATGCCCTCCGTCTTGTTCGTGGTGTGCGATGGGCACGACACGCATGAAGCTTCCAACTTCGTATCAAAAGGTCTCCCTCTACTTGCCTACAAGCGACTGCCTCCCCAGTTGCCGTTGTTGAGACCAGAGAAGCTGCATGCAGCTGCCAGAACGCTGTTTGCTGATCTGGATGCTCTCATGAGGTGATTTTCGAGAGCTTCAAACGCGTGCCTTCGCTGCTGACACCGATGCTGGCATTTTTTCGCAGTGTGCTGGAGGAGGTGGGAGAAGTGTTGAGTGTTGCCAATGTGTTTCCCCGTTGGAGCAAAGCTCTAACGTAGCCGCAGCTTCTTGGTGCTATTCTTCTCATTGCTAGACATCCGCTGTCGCTTTGGCTGTCTCTCTTTAGGCGTCGCTCGGCTGTGTTGCGCAAAATTCATCCGGAAGCTGCTGGCAGCGGCAGTTGTCTGATTGCTGCTCTTCTGCAGGCAAGTCTGCCGCCCCTTCTGGTGGAAAGGGGAAGGGAGAGAGGAGGGGTCTTGCTGATGCTTCTGGCTGCTAATGCTCTTGCTGCGCGATGCTGATGCTTCCGACTCCTAATGGCACTGCTTTACCTTTTGCTGCTTCTCCTACTGCTCTTTTACCTTTTGCTGCTTTACCTACTGCTGTTTCTCCTACTGCTGCTTCTCCTACTGCTGTTTTACCTACTGCTGCTTCTCCTACTGCTGTTTTACCTACTGCTGCTTCTCCTACTGCTGTTTTACCTACTGCTGCTTCTCCTACTGCTGTTTTACCTTTTGCTGCTTCTCCTACTGCTGCTTCTCCTACTGCTGTTTTACCTACTGCTGCTTTACCTACTGCTGCTTCTCCTACTGCTGTTTTACCTCTTGCTGCTTCTCCTACTGCTGCTTCTCCTACTGCTGTTTTACCTTTTGCTGCTTCTCCTACTGCTGCTTCTCCTACTGCTGCTTCTCCTACTGCTGTTTTACCTACTGCTGCTTCTCCTACTGCTGCTTCTCCTACTGCTGTTTTACCTACTGCTGTTTTACCTTTTGCTGCTTCTCCTACTGCTCTTTTACCTTTTGCTGCTTCTCCTACTGCTGTTTTACCTACTGCTGCTTCTCCTACTGCTGCTTCTCCTACTGCTGTTTTACCTACTGCTGCTTCTCCTACTGCTGCTTCTCCTACTGCTGCTTCTCCTACTGCTGCTTTACCTACTGCTGTTTTACCTTTTGCTGCTTCTCCTACTGCTGCTTCTCCTACTGCTGCTTTACCTACTGCTGCTTCTCCTACTGCTGTTTTACCTTTTGCTGCTTCTCCTACTGCTGTTTTACCTTTTGCTGCTTCTCCTACTGCTGCTTCTCCTACTGCTGTTTTACCTACTGCTGTTTTACCTTTTGCTGCTGCTGGAACCGCCCTTGTTGCCACTTTATCCAGCTCTCTTGCTGGTGCGTTTGGCCATGCTTGGGAGCCGTGGTGGCTGTTTTTTTGCGTGTTCGTTTTTTTAGGGGCCTCATCTTTTTACGTTCAATCTTGGCGATTGCGGAGCGGCCTTTGTCTCCTTCGACTCTCGCGTTGCTGCTGCGCGATCGCTTCGCAGCAAGGCCAAAAGCCACGCAGCCTCCGACTCGGGTGCTGCTGCGGAGTATGCAGCCGAGGCAGCCTTGCTGGAGCGAACTTGCGCAGAAGGCAGCAGCAGTGAAGGGCAGCACACGCAGGAGCAGCAAGAGGAAGACGCTGTTACGATTGCCGAAGGAACTGTTGGAGTATGGGATTATAAGGAAGTCGCATTCAAGCCGTTTCCAGGGGGGCAGAGCAGTCCAGGCGCTGCTGGTACGCTATCGGATTTGCTGTTGCAGCAGCAGCAGCAGCGTTACCGCCAACAGCAGCGCTCCGAATCTGGCGCGTGCAGCAGCAGCAGCAGCAGCAGCAATTTCGACATTCTCATCAGGCACGCCAGTGGCAGCACGAGCCCAATGCCGCTGAGTCGCTCGGCACCTGCGCTGCGGCAGCGACAACAGAGACACAGTAACAGAAGCAGCCTCAGCAGCAACAATCTTAAACGCGATCAGTCCTTCTTCGGGTTGGAGAGTCTGGATTCGCCAATTGCAACCTCTCACTTGATGCCCCCCCTGCCGCAACAGCACCTTCCGCAGCAAAAACGACGGCAGCAGCAGGAGCAGCAGCAGGAGCAGCAGCAAGAGCAGCAGCAGGAGCAGCAGCAAGAGCAGCAGCAACAAGTGACGCAGACTCTGGGTGGCTTGCTGAAGAGGCCAGATCGCAGCAGCGCTGCAGAGCTGCTTCCTGGTGTGAGCAGCAGCAGCAGTATCAGCAGCCACAGCAGCAGGATCTCCTTTTGTCTCATTCCGAGCAGCAACAAATTACAGTCTTCAGACAGCGCCTGTTCGCTAGGGACGTACACGTGCAGCAGCAGCAGAAGCAGCATCACCACTGCCCCCAACAGCAGCAGTATCACCTTCCAGTGGCTGTCGAGACAGCTGCGCTGTGGCAGTCCAGCCGAAGAAAAACGGCTTCGAGCGCTAGGGGTAAACTGCGACGCACTCGATGCGCTGTAGAGGTTGCTCTCTATTTTTGTGCTGAGCAGAGGAATGCGACTTACGCCTCTTTCTTCCCCTCCTTCTTTCCTCCTCCTCTCCCTGCCTGCAGCAGGCATCCCAGCGCGAGTTTTGGCTGCTTGTGACTATATCTGCAGTTTTGCGTGGGTGCTTCTTATCCTTTTCGACTATTTGTTTGGGGGCTAGCTTCCTAGCTTGCTCTACTGGCTGACGCCGCTCTAGCTGCCTTTCTTGTTGCCATAGATGCATGTGTCTTTCTCTTTCTTTCTCTCTTTCTCTCTCTTGCCCTGGTGTTTCGCCCGAGCCTCTCGATTGCCGTCTGACTGCGCGTCTCTCCGTGTCTGGCTACTTCTGCTGCAGGTTAGCATCATCAACAACAGGATGGGGGGCCTTATTGAGCCGACACGTTCGATCGGCGACTTTGATGTAAAGGCACGCTTGCCACCTCGTTCCTTGTCGATTGAGCCGGAGGTCGGTGTGTATTCGCTAGCCTCTCTGTTTGCGGCTGCGCCTTCCGCCACTGAGGACGCTGCTGGGGGGGCAGAGACTCCCGGATCGGCGATTTCACCGAACTGCGGCGTGTTGCTGCTCGCAACGGATGGCGTCTGGGATTTCGTGGACGCGTCAGATGTCTTGAAGTGCATGCAGCAAGTCAAGCCTTTCTGGCGAGCACTGGAGACAGCGGCCAAACGCGAGGCGGAACTGCTGCAGCAGCGGCAGCAGCAGCAGAGGCAGCGCGAACTGCTGCGGCAGCAGACAGCCCTCGGCATGCGGGGAGTAGCCAGCGCGAGCGATATAACGGCGATTCTCAGGAATTCCTTTGGAGGCTTAAGCAGGACGAGCAGCAGCAGCAAGCTGAGCCAGCAGAGGCAGCAGCAGCAGCAGCAACCCCCACACAACTCTGCGCAGCAGGCACTTCCTTCGGGGCTCAAGAGAATTACCTCCTGGAGGCGGCTGCTATCTTCGCAGAACGGTGTCGGCGTGGCGGGAGGAAGCGCAACAAGAGCGCCAGCAGCACAAGCAGCTGCAGGAGACGCTGCTGCTGTGCCGTCCGGCGTCAGCTTTCAGCAAGCCGCCGTGGATTCCAGCGCTGCAGGCAGCAGCAGCCATTGGGAGTCGCCGAGTCGGGGGGGCAGATCCTCTCAGGGAGGCTTTCCCCTGCTGCCTCTCGCGCTTCCCACTCCTGAACTGCTCTCCGAAGTTTGTCACCGCATCGTTAAAAAAGCCATAAAGAATGGATCGACTGACGATTGTACCTGTCTCGCAGCGTTCCTGTACCCCGTGTCGTCCTCTGGCTCCGCCTGCGTGGCTGCTCCTTCAGGAGATTTCCCCGTCAGAGGCGTCGCTGGCGAGTTGGATGCGTAGGCAGAGCTCTACTGGTAGTGGGATGGCGACATAACAACGGCCTTGCGGAAAGGTCGCATCCCAAAAAAGCCTTGAGGCTCAGTGTTTCAATGATTGCATATCGATCATCACCGTGCAAAAGCTCCGTCTAGAGGGAAGGTACTGCCCCAGGCTTGTCTGTGCAGCTTTAGAGGCTGTCACCCAGGTATCTCGATTTTGTAGGCTTGCTGTGAACGTGCTCCATCTATCCTGATTTTGGAGATGGCCGTATGCGCAGCATCGATTTTTAGCGCTACTCTTCACACTGCGCGCGTCGATGCCGCGTGTGTGCTGCTGCTGCTGCTGCTGCTGCTGCTGCCGCCGTCGTCGCTAGAGCCGATGGCTTGTTACTAAGGATGCCAAAACAGGCAGTAGCGCAGCACCACGTGTGTGTTGGGGCAGCCATCGACTCAGTAGCAGCAGCAAGGGTACTAGCAGCATTTGCTTTCACGCCACAGGAGACGTACACGAGCTGAAGTGCGTCGGTGCAGCAATACGGGGGATGTGGAATGGGCTACTTGGAAATGCAGCGTTATGTGGTTTCTCCACCTTCCTCAAAAAGGAAGGCTAGAACGCTTCATCCTTGGTCTCCGTAGGGAGACACTCCTTGGCTAGAAAGTTCGTGGGGGGTTCTACAAATAATCCCTCTTCCCCATGCCGTCCCCCTCGAGCTCCGATTTGAAAACACTGGGCTAGCGGCATGGCTGTGCTTTTCAAGCGTTCGCAGCTAGCTGCGCACCGCGCACTTGGCGCACATGTGCAAACAAACACATTGCGTCGTCTTGTGTCGAGCTCATAGCAATGCAAGGTTTGCGAATGAACATGCCAATTATTTGATTCAACATCAAACTTTTGACATTTATCAGTATGGCAGAGGAGGCTCGCAGTAGCTTGGGCTGCTACGTCTATCCCCCTTTAACGCATATGCCCTCGTCTGCCTTGCGTGTTCGTTGGGAATCATTGCGCACCCTACCGCCACGACGCGTGCAAGCAGAAACTGGGAAACAGTCCAACTGATAAAATAAAGAGATCATCACCCTTTAAAGTCCAGTCAGCTGGTCGAAAGGTAGTCAGTATCAACAACCAAGGGACAAAAACGACACGACCGCAGCGCCGCGGGTGGCATACTGCCGTCAGAAGGCTGAAACATGGGCTTCCTGCCACGAGAAAGCAAACGACAAGCGTAATGTGTACATGAAATCAAAAGACACTACTTCAGTAGTGCTTCCGCGTTTCGACAGGCAATTTTTGAAGGCCAATACAGCCGGTAAATGTAGTACTGCCTTTGACGTCCATACCCCAGAAGAAGCATAAAGTGGAATGCAAAGACAATCTTTTTGAGATCGCCTGTGCAAAAATGCTGAGTGAACGCAATACCTTAACAATAGTAGCCAGCAAAGTTTTGAGCCCTACCCATAAATGTAGACAACTGTATCAGGCAGAACCTACGCCGAGGACGGACAACAACCTTGCAACGGCGGGTTTCTTTATTGTCTAGAGTCACTAGCTTTGCCAATGAAATAAAGCCGCCAACTCTCCCTCATGCGATAGTGTTTGCAACCGCTGAGTCGTCACCTGGAAACGTTGGGCATCCCCTCCCCATCTCAACAAAACCAACATCCAGTGTGCCCTGACGCTCAATAGTCCTAAAATCCACTTTTGTGGCTGCCTCTAGATCCTCCGCCTACGTAGCTTGCCTGTGCGGCAAAGCTCGCGAAGAGTTCGGCGAAGTTTAAATCTACATATGAGGACGCCAATATTTACAGTTCTGTGGCTCCTCTGAATTCTAGGGAAATCGATGAAGTAAAAAGGTCAATAAGTTTGTAAGGGAGTAGCAAGTGGTCTTTGTCACACGGCCGCAAATTCTGTATGGACACCTTCTGGTGCACTTGGCAAACCCTCCCACGTAGTTAAACCAATTCACCAGGCTCGGAACACACGTTTGATCGCTGCTTACCATAATTGAGTGCTATGTCTGTTGAGCCTTGTGCACACAGTCATAAGCAACAGCTAAGTATAATCTGAATTTCTCTACTGAGGGAGATTCAGGTTCTAGGAACTCCACTTAAAGGCTCGGATTAGAGAGGATCTCCGAAGTGTAGACCAGGAATGCGGTGTGGCAACGGGTGGGCAAGTGCAGTTGTCTGTTTTATGCCACCTACCTAAAGAACAACAAGCCAAGAAGGCTTGAATTTATCTTAGCGGAGAGTCGCAAATAATGTAGAAGGACGCAGATTATGCACGCTACCTGTTCCCCGTCCCCACGGTAGCCCGCTCTGGTCATATTAAGGTAAACATTTAATCGGGTGATAAGGGCACGCCACAACGCACTAGCAAACTTCGATTTCGTTTATACTCTCGGGGAATCCATGATCCTTCCAGACTTAAGTCCAGAAAAATTGAGCGACTTTCCGAGTCATGATAGTGCTGGGGTAGATGGAAGTTCAAGTGGACACATGCTGAGTCTGTCGGCAGCTACGTAGACGCAACCCCAGCCCTTGGCTTCCAGCAGTCCAACAATAAAATCTAGTCAGACCAGTCGAATTTCGAAGGGACAGAAGGTTTTGCAAAAGGCTGAGTTTACGAGTATTGTGTAGCTTTAGCTGCTAACAATCTGGACACGACTGTGCACCAGGTTGATTGAGAGGAGAATCCCCTCTACGGTAAGATATCTCAGGCAACCGGATAGATCGTGAGGATTCTCCACCATATGGTAAACTCCCACTATAGCCCAAAATAACATGCTTTATTGCGCTGCCTAAATCGGCGCAGCGGAGTGAAGCGGGGATGTGCGAGCGACCAAGTCCCCGCCTTTTCTAAGCCCCAGCAGGTCAACCTCAACGTGGAATGCATCCCTATTTTACCCCTCTTGATATTAACAACAAAAGGTACGCACAGGCGCTAGAAGCATGGGATACAAGTCATCCGATGAAAATTTTGGACACATAAAAATGCGGTTGTGCTTCACAATAGTGAACGGATGCAGTGCCACGACAGTGCCCTGGCAACCATGTTAGGGATGCTCTTGATGTACTTCCTTGTGACGCCGTACTACAGGAGGCCCCCAATCCAGCGAATAACTTTAGGACTATCGACGTGCTAAATGGCTCCAAGAGAATTACACTAAAGTCAAATGGTCGGTCCAGGAGGTCGAAAAATGACTCCCGCAAAAATCGCGCCGGTATTTTCAATGCCTGCAACGCGAATAGCTTTTTCCCGGCCCTGGATACCCCTGCTCGGTTCTGGTGAGACGATGAAAACAAAAAGCAATACTTTGGTGTATTGTGGATACCATAAATTGCGGAAAGAGAAGACTGGTCGCTAGCATTGGCTGTAGGGAAGCCACGGCACTCACAATCGGCCAGCGCACTTACCGAAGGAGTTGTATAGCGGCCGATGAGTGTCCTTAGTGCCCCATCAGCCTCCTTCTTCTAGCTCACAAATCATGTTTGCTCAAATGAATGAGCTGAAAGAAATTTCAGCTGACCAAATCCAGCCATGAAATTTCAGTAATAAGATACAAACATCTAGAACTTTGCAGCATTCTTGAGGGTGCTCAGCAATAAAGGACATTTCTTGATTGGTTCAATTTTGCCAGACCTCGCTAGATTTTTGCGATCAACGCACGGTTTTCATAAGCACAATTATTCCAAAAAAAATTTACACTTGTGCGTCTGCATATGTCACTGGTTGTCCGGCAACAAGCTGAAGCACACGCTGTACGTGCTACAGGCGTTCGTTGACGTTGCGGCTGAAGAATAAAACGTCGCCTCTGTCGGCAGCCATCCGGCCCCCATCGATAGAATTATAAAAAGCCCGCGTAACTTGCTGTTGCAGTTTGGCTCGGACAATAAAAGGGCAAAACGTATACACGTATGCTCGACCTTGTGACTGCGAGCATGGAACGCCGCTTTATGTTTCATCAAAGTAAGTAGAGTAGTTGAAGAGAGCTTCTGTGTTGTCAAATACACTTTATCAATGTAGCTGGTCACGCAATTTGACAGTCTGAGGCATTAGACACGTGCGCTTCACCTTATTCTTCTTCAGGGGCTCAATGCTAACACGCTTGCGCGACCTTCCATCCTTTCAGGAACTAGTGCCCTGCCCAGAAGCGCTGTCGATTCTTGCACTTAGCCTTCCCCCAACAAGGCATCCACCTGTCGCTCACCTTCCTGTTCATGGTGTAGCGGCTTCCGATGCCGCTAGACATAGCTTGAGGCTGACCCGAGAAGTAGCTTAATACGGCGCGCTGGACGACTTCCAGGTCGCCAGCCTGCTGGCAGCTTCGTATTCAACGCATCAGCGAATCACCCTTCAATACTTGCCTATTCATCCTGAACCTAGGCAAAGAGCTCTATCGAGTCCTCAAATAGAGACCAATTGCAGAACCAGTAGGATTGAATGCATGCTTAGGACCGTCTTCTCTTTTACTCCTCCACTGAGCCGTTCGCATGAAGGCTCTGCCTCAGCTTGTGGATGTAAGGACTCGACAGTGCTTACCACAGCCAAAATGTCCGTTAGTGAGCAGACCAGAAGGTGGATCTTCCAAGCGATTCTTGGCACTCTAATCCCCCCAGCGCGCAGTTGTGGCCGCATGCGCACATTCCGTTGAGCCACACATGGCATATCTAGGATTACACACTTGTACGTGGGATACGACTTCCTCTGTATGAGTAGAGCCACGACTGAAGGGTTTTTTTCTGATAACACTTCACAAGTAGGAAGCCTCGCTACCTCATCTGGGTAACACGAAGGAAGGTGCATTTTAAATCGGCTGACGAAGCATTCGTGTGCTTGCCCGTCCTGATGGGCCTTATAACGTTTCCCCTGGCATAACCTGACTGACCCACCATTACACATTTTATAGGCTTTAACATATCTTTTTAGAATCAGTAAAGCTGCTCCCTTCATGACAGCATTCAGGAAGGGCTGTGGTTCCGAAACTGGCGTTATACGATCGTGCCACCTTCACTTTTATTTCCAGAGAGTTTTTTGCAGACTGCTGCAGAGATCATCAAATGCTGAGCTACCAGATAACTTGATCGAAGCCGAACACTGTAGTAGGGAAGCCTTGCATACCATTGCATGCACAGCCAGTGGGTGAGCGAAGAAATGCTGAAACGAGCGCCGTGATGCTACCAACTGTAACAACCCACCTGGGGTCTCCGTAGGGAGGCATTTAGTGCCAATATGGGTACAAAATTACAGGGAAAGTTAATAAGCATCTTAAGGAAGACTTGCTTTTTCCTGTGCCATGCACTTTAGAGTTCCTGACCTTTGAGGAGGGAGGGAAAGTTAGTGTGTGTGAAGCTACATCTTGCAAGCACTCCGAGCCCTAGAAGCTGGTTGCCCATAGCATCTCGCGCACACACACAATATTGCGTCTTTTTGTTTCGAGCTGAACTTATTTTGCAGTAAGCTGTACGTAAAAACAAGTGAAGAAATGAATTCTTAACGATTTCTCATTGCGTTCGATACACCTGGTTTGTAGGAAGCGCCTAAGTGTAGCGTAGTCCGCCGCCAAGCCACTTGCGGCATGGAGCGGAAAAAAGACGAGGGCCAACACCTCTCCTTCTGCTACCAGCCACATGAATGGTTGTGCATAGAGAGAGGCAGGTAGGACCTGGTCATGAAGCATTCAGTGACACTTGTCGGTCGATTCGTGCAATCCGAATCGGAAGGCAACTTCCGCCTCTCCCCCCCAACAGTGCCAGCGATTATGAAGCTTCCCAGTAGGAAGTTGCATCATTGGCTGGAGAAGCATCCGCAGCAGTGAGGCGCATACGGACAGCACTCATGGAAGCACAAGAAGCGCATGCGGCCGAAGGTGGTGAACTGACGGCCCCACTGGCAAGAGGAGGGGCCAGCCAGAAGAGACCGCCACTTCTTCTCAGTTTGAAAACATGCAGATTTGGAGTTTTACCTGTTTGCACGCATCTTCACGGCTGGAAGCTCCCCTCCCCTTGCCTCTACGTCACCCGCATTCGCCACGCTGCCGTCCGCGCTGTTGCTAGCTGCTTGCTTTAGCAGGGCAGGCTCTGGCGGTTGGTGTTTGATGAAGTTTCTGCTGTCTTGACGGTTTTTGCGGCCGTCGATCGTCGCACCCTTTTTCATTCTTCACCTTTGCGCGTCTTTGGGGGTTTTCAGGCAGTGGAAGCGGGCGTCTGCCGCTCAGCGGTCCAGTTCCCGGCGGATAGCGCTTGGGGGGAATCTCCTAGGAATCTGCACACTGCGCATTCAGACTGCCTCTGGACGTGCACAGACTGTCACTGCCACGCGCATGCATGCGCATCTCACGGGCTACTTATATGGCCTAGGGTGTAGGTAGCAGCAGCCGAAGACGATCAGCAGCGCCAGGAAGCAAGCACTTCCACATCTGAATCGTTGGTGAGAGCAGCACAGAGTGGCATACTCACCCCCTCCTTCCCTCCTTTTCCCCCCCTTCCTTCCGTACGACTAGCGTTGAAGGCGGCAGCAGCAGCACCAGCAGCAGCACCACAATTGGCCTCCCCCCGCCCCCCCTTGGCGCGTAAACGAACATCTAATAGGCGTTTTGTTCTGCCACAGCAGAGAGAAGAACATGCATGCCGTGTAATCGCTACGGGAAAAGGCACCCAAACAAGCATCTCTTGCATGCGACGTGCCTGCACCCCCTGCTAGCAGACAGAGTAACGACCCTCACGACAAAGGGAAGGGAGAAGGAAGGGGCTTGTATGTGCAGCGCTTGCGGCGTCACAAGTACCTCCAACCTCACACAGAGCAAGCAATAACACGAGCGCACTCCCACACACACTGCGCTTCCTAGGATTTTCTTGCTTTGCGGATTCAAGGAAAAGAGGACTCACAAGACGGGAAGGACGAGGCCACATTTCAGATGCATTCGATTCTCCCTTGTTGACTCTCTCCTCGCTGCTCCTGCGAGCACTGCACCCGCCGTTCCGTCCATCGCCTCTGTCTCTTTCTCTCTCCTGCTTCGGGTTCTGGCTAGCGCTAATAGATCCTTCCAAGAAGAACCCCTCCCCCCAGCCTGCAGTATGGATCGCTACAAGAAGCTTGACAAGATAGGCGAGGGAACCTACGGCGTGGTCTACAAAGCGCAAGATGCCAATGGCAATCTCTGTGCCTTAAAGAAGATCCGGTTGGAGGCAGAAGACGAGGGGATTCCATCGACAGGCACGCCACACGCTTGCTTCTCACGCCACTTTTACAGCGCATGCGGCCTCTTGCATGCGATGTAATTGTCATAGCCTCGTGTCTACGCATCGTGGCTCAGAAAGGCCTCTATTAGGGGAGTTCATGTGTGTGTGTCTGTGCATACAATGTGCTGCACGCTTGCAGCCATACGCGAGATTTCCCTGCTTAAGGAGCTCCACCATCCCAATATCGTTCGACTAATGGATGTCGTCCACACCGACAAACGCTTAACCCTCGTGTTTGAATATCTTGAGCAGGATCTCAAGGAAGTTCTCGATGCATGCCGCCGTAAGCAGCGGCTTTTTATGCAAGCAAATGCCTTAATCTCGGTTGAGGGGTCCAGTATGCGTGGTTTGTGTGTATATGTATGTGTGTATGTGTATGTGTGTGTATGTGTGTGTATGTGTGTGCATGTGCGTGTATATGTGTGTAAATGTGTGTATGTGTGTAAATGTGCGTGTAAATGTGTGTATGTGTATGTGTGTATGTATATATGTGTATATGTATGTGTGTATGTATATATTTGTATATGTATGTGTATATGTGTGTGGCTGGCGTGCTTGAACCCCCTCTCTGTGGTGCCCCTTACTGAATGCATATTGCTTCATGGTATCCCCTTTCGCATGCTAGTCCACTGCTGCAACCTCTTGAGGTCGCCTCGATGTTGTTAAACAACAGTGCATGCATACACAACCCAGCCATGCAAGAAGCCTCGAAAGAAGGTGGGCGCTTGTGTCTGCCTGTCTGCCTGCAGCCGCTGGATTGGAGCCACAAGTCGTCAAATCATTTTTGTACCAACTCTTGAAGGGCATCGCTTACTGTCACCAACACAGGTCCATCTTTTTCTGCCCTCCCTTTCTGCCCTCCCTTTCTGCTTCCCTTTTCTCCCTGCCTGGGGTGTGCGACTTGCGCTTTTTCATGGAGCTCACCAGCAGTCGTTGGAAACATCACGTCCCCTGGGTGCAGACGTTTTTGGAGGCGCAAAAAACAAGATTGCACGCGATGGCTCGAAAAAAGATCGCGCGTCTCGCCTGTCGTTCCGGCAGGCGCAAGCGGCAGCTTCCTGCTTCCCACAGCATGCATGCATGCATGGGCGTCCCCGTTGTTTCTGCATGCGCTCTTCAGAGTTTTGCATCGAGATCTCAAGCCCCAAAATCTGTTGATCAGCAGAGGCGGAACTCTCAAACTCGCAGACTTTGGCCTCGCCAGGTACATGCAAAAGCCTTGTCGAGTGGGGTTGCTTTGCAACTGCGCCATTTCGCCAAGGGAAGAGGCTGCTGCGTGTGTGTCTGTGCTCGTCGCGCCTGTGTCGTGTATGCATGCACCGCTGGTAAATGCAACGTGCACACACGCAGGCCTTCATGATTGCATGCATGTCTGCCCACATGCCTTTTTCGTGTCTGCATGCCTTGTGAATCCCTCCACGTGGAAGCGGCGCTCGCTTTCTTCGCCTCGTGAGCTGGTTCTAGGGTGACAGCCACACCACATCGCATGATTCTTCCTTCCACACGTCGTGCTGCTGTCTGCAAAGTGTACGAGTTGCGCATTCACAGAGCATTTGGCATCCCAGTTCGATCATACACTCACGAAGTTGTAACTCTGTGGTACCGGGCTCCTGACGTTCTGATGGGCAGCAACACTTACTCTACGCCTGTCGATATTTGGAGTATAGGATGCATCTTCGCGGGTGAGGCGTTGTGCAGCCCTCTTTTAGCAGCCAGCCATTGTAGTGCTCGCCCTTTGGCGGCTGCCAGAAGCTCCTGAATGTGTCTACGTTTCCGAGGGGTCGTAATCGTAGTTGGGGGGAGAGGAGGAGAAGGGAAAACGGCTGTTCCTCTGCTGCTCTCTTCGAGATCCTGTCGGTGCGGCTGTTTCTTGTGGCGAATATCTTGGGGTTAGCACGGTGCTTTTTGAGGATATTTTTCCCCTGCCAAGTTGCCTTGGGCTGCTCAAGGCGCTCTCCTGCTGGATGGGGGCTTGAGCGTCTGTCTTGTAGTGTATGCCGAGTGTGCGCGTATGGTGTATTGACACTGGGGGCTGTTGCAGAGATGGTGAACGGGCGACCCCTGTTTCCAGGCTCGAATAACGAAGACCAGCTCCAGCGAATCTTCAAGGTTTTAGGTAATCGTGCAACGCAGAGGCCCCCCAAGCAGCACATGCATGCATGCATGCATGCATGCATGCACGCGCAAAGACGGGTTTAGCGACTGACGCCCTTAGCCACAGCCTTAAGGCGCGGACGGTGTGTGTGTGTCTGCTGCATGCGCTCCACAGGGACGCCTGCTCCAACTGAAAGCCTCACGGGTTTGCCGCAGTGGCGCAATAACTTCAAGTATTACCCACCGTTGAAGTGGAAATACATCGTGCGTTGAGTGTCGATGAGGCCCCACTGAGGGCGCATTCAGCGTGTTATGGGGTGCCATGTAACGTCTCTGCCGGACGGCTTTCGGCTTTTGGGGAGGTTGGGTAGTCTGCTTGCTGCGGGGCAGACACGTAGATGGCGCGTTGTGAGGCGGCACCCCTGTTGTGCGCAGCAACTATGGCTTTTTGGGCGCTCGTTCATGCGGTTTGGGGGTATTTCTAGAGATACGTGCATGCACGATAAGTGCAGGGGGTTCACATGCACACACCCTTACACGCCCAGAAAATCATGGCTTTCGACTTTTTGTGTTCTCCTCTCGTGTTTTCCTAGGCCCCCGGCCTGAGCGACTGCGGGTTGGATTTGCTTTCCAAAATGTTAGTCTTTGAGGCGTCCGAGAGGATTTCGGCGAAGAAAGCCATGCAGCATCCGTATTTTGATGACTTGGATCCTGCTCTCCGGGATACGAACTAATTAACTCCTTCGTATTTGGCGCAAATTCAGAGCTGCTGATGGTCCTAATACCCTCCGTCGTGTTCACGTGCAGAAAACAATGGGGAACAGGCATCCATTCAGACTACACGGGTTCTGTTTCGCGGCGGTTCGTCCGAAGGCCCAAGCAGCGTGCAGTTCGGGGAGGCACTCAGTCAAAATAGGGGGATCCAAAGAATCGCCACACCTCTCTCTTGAGTCTAGAGGCTTTGCTGCTTTAGGCGTTTCCACAGTCACGCGCGTTCCAGGCCTTTAAACGTTGTACCAAACCCTAAAGCTCTCGCGATATCATCAGAGAGCCACACCCTAAGGCCTCTTAACTTGCAGTGTTCAAGCGCACAGGGTTCACCTCACCCCGTACGCTCCCAAATCTGGGCTTTGCTGCAAGATTTTCGCGGCTGCAACATCCCTGCGTCCGACTCGTGTGCTGCACCACTGCAGACATATGATGGGGAATTTCGTGGTGTGGGTGCTGGGCTGTAGGTAGAGGTACCTCGAAGCTCAGAGAAACGCCACACACTTGGCGAATTGACAGCAAACAAACTCTTCAGAATCAACGCACTCGCAGACGCAAAACGGATACACACAGCGTGCTTCGTCGGTTAGCCATTACCAAGAAGGCACACAAGTACACATATATGTACATATATATATGTATATGTATGCATGTGCCTACATGTACACATCTACAGGGAACTACCACAGTTCCAACAGGTAGTAATACGTCTTGCACACATCGAGGGGCACAGCACGCCACCTGCCTATCGGCACACAGCTGGCAAGCGCGAGAGGCATCTCTCCAACTCCAACTGCCCCTATTTGCTCCGCGTTTTTACTCCCCCAAGAAACCATCTCCGCGTTGACAGTCTACAGATCTTCCAGGGGTGCTGATGGGTTCGCACTGGCAGGACGCTCAGCAGAATACGCTGTGCACGTAGGCGGCCACACTCACGCCGCTGCAAGCGGAAAGAGACGTCCAACTGAATGGACTGCCGGGGTAGGAGTGTGTTTCTTTGAGAGTAGATGTCTAGGGGCAAGCCTCGTACTCTGCAAAGAGCGCCTGCAAGGGCTGCCTTCCCTCTTCGCGGTGTTATGGCTGCACCTTGGTATGGGCTGCTGCCAAGCAGTCCACACTAGGGGAGACAGACGCTTCCCCGAGCAGCTGGCCATACAGCTGAACTTGACTAGCTTGACAGCAGGCGGTATCGCGTCTGCCCTTCCGTCTCCGTTCATGCCCTTATCCTCGCTTGTATTCTGCGGTTGAGGGCAGAAGCGTGTTCCTTGCGCTCACAAAGAAAAAACCAGCCGTCCAACAGAGGTGGTGCTGCTGAGCTCGCTCCCAAGCCATAGCAACTTCAGGCTTCCACTCGCTGCACCCTGCGTTTCTTTCGCTGCCCTTTCCTCGCCTGCGCGCTGCTCTCCGCTTGCGGAGGGACGAAGGGAGGGAGAGCCCTACTGCTGCTGCTTCACTGCCGTTCTGCCCCCCTGACTCCCGCCGTGCAGCCGCAGCTGCTGGCCGGTCCCCTCCCTCGCAGAGAAAATCCAGTACCCCCGTCTATCGTAGTTCAAGTGCAATCGTGCAGGGCCTGCCATACGTAGCGCTGCAGTGCATGCGCTCCTCTGCCGCTGATCCCCCCTCCCTGCGACACACCCCCGGGAGGTAGCACACCTAAGAGGAGCCTCGCCGATTCCAGCAGTCCCTAGGGATATCCTGCTGCGGTTCTCCCCGTAGTACCGCCGGCCATAGCGCTCGCCTCCATGCGAAAAAGCCGTTCAGTGCAGACACTGAAGAGCCCTGAACTCGCGCGTTTTCCCTGCAAACCGCCAAAACGGCTCTCCTGGATACAAAACACAGACACCCAAACACACCAGACACACATACACCTGGCACAAAGAGACAGTCGAGACGGCGTGAGCCTCTGCTGCAGACTTCCACGAAAACTAGGAGGCTCTTGGGGTGTGGCTCTAGCCGCGCAGAAGAGCGCTTGCCACTTTCAATTCGAAGCTGCTGAGGCGTGAGGGTTAGGGGCGCAGCTATACGGTTCGTGTCAAAGGGGTTGGCATCTTTGAGACAGCGAAGCGCTGTTTCGCGCCGAAGCAAAGCCCCCCCCACCCAACCATAAGCCATTGAAATGTAGAATCTGCCCGAAGACGTGTCTGTCGTGCTGCACCAGTTGCGGCTGCTGGAGGCATCCCTCAGCTTTCGTTGCTTGCCCATCAGCTGCGCATGGCCGGCAGGTGACGATCCTGCCGTTTCCGCACTCTCCAAGAGCAGCTAGACTACATTCTTCCCTCCACACGCGAGAACCCCACCACTTATCAAGAGACACTTACCACGCACATCCATAGACAAAGAAGACGACCCGCAGAGCAACGCCCTCCAACTTTTCCCTGGAACTCGCTCTGGAGGCGTCTCCCACGCGACGCTTAGCCTTTGCAAAGAAACACGAAGCTGCCTGTACACTCACTAGCCCCCAATCCCACGCCATCTGAGACAACCACCCGCCGGTAGGACCGCTGCAGCAGCAGGAGCGACGCGAGCGACTGCTGCTGCTTGGAGGAAGGCTCATCATTCTCCTGCTGCAGCTGCTCCTTCGGGGTCCTCTGGCCCGCGAAAATCCTCTCAGCTGTAAAAAGCGACCGCTGCTGCAGCAGCGCAGCTGCCTGGGGTTCCACCAGCAACTCTGCGCAAACAAAAGGGACCAGCTTTTGATGAGAGCAGCTCCCTAGTCCTCGGCGGCTCCCTCTTGGGTTAATGCCGGCGGGTGCTCCCCCACAACAACAATCTGCTGGCCGTGCCACTTGAAAAAACAAAGCAGGTGTGTCTGGAAGCGAATCTCCTGTAATGCGACAGAAGCCCTAGCCTCCCCTTTTGCGAGGAGGGGATAGTTGTAGGGCGCAAACTGCTATGTAATGCTCTCCAACTCCTCTTTGTGCAGAGCTGCGGCCTGTACCAACCTGACTCACTCCCACTGCTGCAGCTGCTTGTGCTGCAGCTGCCTGCGCTGCTGCACCCTCCACTTGCTGCGGTTGGGAAAGGTCTTCTCGGCATCTGCATACGCTATGAACACCCCCTCAAAGACTTTGTGCCTCGCCACCCAAGTCTCTCCCCAATCCCTTCGTGGCATCTTGCCCTTATTGCTCAGCCCGCTCTACCCAATGCCAGTATCCCTCAAGGCTAGATCTCGAGACGTCCAACGATGCCTCTGGAGACCTCCCTTCAGAAGCCTCTGCAGATGCTCGTCCTGGAGCGCCGCCACCCCTGGAGGCATACTAACCAAGCACCACGAGCACTGGATAGTTCTCTGCAAAGGACGGGGGGTTCTGAAGGGGTGGGGTAGTGGGACAGCCTCTCTGGAAGTCTTTCCAAGGTTTCTACGCGACAGCTTCCTTGGGGAAGCTTAAACGGCGCACAACTCAGGAAGCACCCAGCACGAGTCGAACGGAACAATAAAAGAAGTCTCTAAACACCAAGGACTCAAGGAGGCCTCTTCTTGCCGTTGCGGCTGCTCAGTGGGGCTGCTTGACACGCGTTCGTCGAAAGGATCCTTAGGGGCGTCTCCTACAAGGTTCCCCCACCGAAGAATTTCCAACAGGGAGAGATAAAGCACAATAAAGGGGGAGTAGGGGGACGACATAACAGTGGCCGCAATCAGCCAGTACCAAAACGGATGTTCCAGCAGCAAGCACGCTGAGGGGGCTGCTACGTGTGCTGCTCCTGTGGCAGCTAGTGCAGTCGTAGCGGGCGTCACAGGGGGTAACATTCTGCGCTGTGTTGAGGAGCAGTTGCGCGTGGGCAGCTGGTCCTTGAAACTTTGTCTATCAAATCTCTTTCCCTCAAGGTCTACGAGCTAAATAGCGGCGCAGCTTCGCCATCCGGCTCGTGGCTTGCAAGTTTCGAGGCTCGGGGACCCCTGCAAGCTCAGATCGAGAGGAAGGCAGCAGTAGCGGCGGCATTCTGGAGTAACAGCACATGGTCGGAAAGAAGAGTCACAAATTGTAGGTAAGCCATGGGAAGACGTTCACACTTTCTGCCCCCACGCTTACGCAAGGCAGTGTGGGGGGACAAAGGGGAGGGAGAAGAAAGGGAGTAGTAGACAGCGCCCTGTACAGATGCTTGCAGTCTGCGAACGGCAGCTTGCACGGCAATTCATGGCGTCCAATGAAAATGGCCCCTCCATAAAAACCGATGTCAGCATAGGAATGGGGCGGGGTGTGTGAGTAACAGCAGCTGACCGATGGTTCAAGACCAGTGGTCTGAGGGTGATGATGCTCTTGCTGAAGAACGCTGCCCCCGCTAGAGCTGCTCTTTCTATCTATTTATGGGGTGATCCTTTACTGCACTGTCTGTCAGGGGTGTCCCGAGGAACCGGCTAGAGAGCGCTGTGTAGTGCGCTCGGCCTGCTCTTACTGGTGCAGGCGCATTTTCGCCTCGCCTGCTGGAGCGGGGGTGTATCGCACGTCTCAGACTACGCCCTGTCAAGCGTTATAGCACATAAACTGAGCGTGCCTTGTCTCCATTCGGAGCACCCTCGTTCCAAAACGTGGTGCAAGTTGAGTGCTGCGGCATCACGCCGCTGGTGTCGCCACGTTTCCCAGTGTAAAGCTACTGCTACCCCTAATTATTATCCGAATGCAGGCCACTGGCCTTAGGCACGCTTCTGGCTCGAACAAAAGAGTCACTATTGGGGGTTGCTTTTGGAGAGCTTTTCCCCCTTCGCCTTTCTCGTCTACCCCTTCCTGTCACCCCACAAATTCCAATCCGTGGAGCACGAGAGGGAAACAGAGGGACCACCGGCGAGGTCCTTGGAAATGGCTCGACGCACTCAAATGCTCAATCGTTTCCATCGGCACCCAGGCATACGCACAGGAGAGAGGTGCACACAGGCACAGGCACTACATTCACCCCCGTAGTGTGGAGCAAGCTAATCAGCCCTCTTGTGCGAAAAACATGCAAGCAGCCGGACATACAGTCCATCGCA